CCATCTATTTTGAGATTTCTGGTCATTTTATTAGCATAGGATTTAATTAAGTAACAGCACTATGCTTAGCTGCATAGTGCTGTTACTCACTACATAAGTAACATTGTGATAATTTGCTAGTAAGCAAATTTTGGAGGGATACATCTTTCAGAGTCATTCCTTGATTCAATATATATATTGGACTTTTTTTTCTTGTATTTGGATGGTTTACAATTCTGTGTGACGATGGGACTCAGAAAAGATGAAATATTAGAAAAAATGTATGTAAATAATCATTTATATTTTATTCTAAATTTAAGCATTTTTTAAACTACAAATACACCTAATTCTGTATTTACACAAACTTTTCTTAAATGATTTTGATTTAACACGATTTAAAAAAATTAATTTGTCAAGTATGATCGTAATGGGGAACGAGGAGATCATGTTGAAACTTTAGGTTTCAATGTGATCTGAAATTGTTAATGTCATCTTGTAGAGAATTATATATAGGCCTAGCCACAATATGAATCCAGCCATTAATAACTGAATTTGTTCATAAAACCACTGTAACATCAACACCACAAGTCATTACTGCTAACATTGAAGGAAGTTTATCTGTGGATGTAGAACACAATAACTAAAGCATTTTTAGTAATAGCAGTGATGTTTCAATTATGTGCAAATGTATGCAATTATTGTCAGGAAGTGACAGTGAATAAAATCTTATGTATAACTCACATTACATATTCTGCCCAATTTTTATGTTCATTAATTCATTACGTTTTTTTTGTTATGTTTTTCAAATGAAATCTACGTTCCTATAATTTATTTTTATTTATGTGCAATGTGTATGAAATAAAATTTGATAACATGCAAAAAAAATAAAATTCTAACAAGATTTTCATATACTTTATTTCATTATTTTTGTTGATTTCTTAGATCCATAACCAATCTCCTAATTTTCCATAAATACAATGTGTTTTTTTACATGTAATTTCTGGGAATCAATCTATCGTGTAAAAACAGAATTAAGTGTACTTTAATATACATAATTACCAATAGAGAGAATGAAAGAAAAATATTAATTATTGTATATTTCATACACTGATTAATTTATTTTAAAATGTTAGTGCTGTAAAGAGCATATCTTTCATTCTTTAAGATAATTACAGTAAGACCCCCACTTAACATGGGGGATGCATTCCTAGATGACAAAGCACTAAATGCAGTATTAAATGAGGTTATTATAACATAGAGAAAGGGGAACATGCAACCAAAAATAAACAATTTCTTTTACTTTCTTTATAACTTCAGAATCAGAATCATCAAAACTTAAGATGAATTCTGTTATCTTCTTGTAGTTCTCATAGTCGAAAAGTTTCCTCAATCCACACCCCACTTCTATAGGTGACTATAGGCTCTGGTTGTAATGGTAGTCCTGTGATTTCATAATATAACTGAATTCTTACTGGTGCCTTCTGGAACAGTTTTATTGTGTTTGAAATGAACTCATTTGCAATCAAGTATTCTAGTCAGACACACACACACATGCACAAAATGTATCACTCAGAAGTGAACTTCTCTGAGAAATGACATTGTACTGTGATTGGTTGGGGATTTAGAGGACAGATTTACATAATTGTTGAATCTCTGAACACCAAATTCAGAAAAATTATTATACCCACTCTGTAGGTTTAAACTTTAAAATACTTAAAATATTGCAAAATGGATATACTGTAGTTTGAATGCAAAGTAATAAAATGAATGCTTTTTTTGGTCTCCTACTATACCAATAGAATGAAAAATCTATGCCTTTCTAGTGTCAGTTTATTATTCCCTATCATTTTCTGAAATGGGTGCTGCACCCAAAATTTCAAACCTTAATTATGACAAAAACTATAATGAATCAAATTACTCTTAGTGGTAACTAGTGTTACCACCCATCCGGTTTTCATCCGGTGAACTATTAATTTTGTCCGGGAATATCATGCCCAATCTGTTGACCCTTTTTTTTTTTTTATTTGCTTGAACTATTCGTATTCGTACACGTCTCCAATATCCAATAGAGCTAAGTCATCTATAGTTGTTTTTTCTTAATTTAGGTTATTTACATTACTCCTACTTAAGGTTTTCTAGTCCCTAACTGTAACTGATTTAGAACCGGCATGCACTGCACGTTATTCTTCGCATTGCAAAATGACATTGCGCATGCATCAGGAACTTCTGTTCGAACCAACCTCACCTGTCATCTGGGTCAGCAATTTTGAAAAAGTGGCAACACTAGTGGTAACAGTATATTTTTTAAAATTTCATTTATATTACATTTTATGTCACAGTTTGGTAATTTATCATTAACAAAAATTTATGTGAGAATCAACATTCTTTTGAAAATTGGTGTGTAAGCCGCAATCATTGAAAATGGAATATGAAAATTTATATTGGGTATTAAAACAACTTAAAAGTTTGCATTGATTCAAATTAAAGATTTGAAGAATAATCCTGTTTTTCACATCTTTCTTTGTGTTTTAATACCCAATTTAAATTTTCACATTCCATATGACTTGTGTTCCCCTAATATGTTCTTCTAGAGCAGTGGTTCCAAATCTTTTTTTCATTAGCATACCCCTGTGGCATTTCCAACTTTCCAACCAGCAACGCATGCGCAAATCTCACACTACCTGTTTGTAGAGAGTGTCGCCACTTTGAATTTTATTTTGACTCGGTTCTCGGTTCCCTGAATACCTACAAGTCTGTTTTTTTTATGCGCACATGATTTGGGCACCTAATACTCTGTGCCAAATTGCAACTTCTGACTTGTACACCTTCATACCTTCTGGTAACACATCAGGCAGTACGATTTTATAAACAAGACATAGTCTTGTCAATAAAAAATTAATAAAAATACTGAATAAATAATGAAAAAAATTACTGCTTGTAGAGAAAATCTGGAGTAACTAGCTATGTCCTTTTCCTTGCTAACAATAAAAAAACACTTTTTATAAACAAAAAAATACTTCAAACAACATGTGGGGATATTGTTCAGAGATAATAATAATAATGGTAATATACCCCACCATCAAAAGTCCATAGCATAATCACTAATCATGCATAATGGTATCCCCACTACCATTGACTGACTGCGAAACATTTATTGATCTGTTGCATTGTACAATCGGCAGCATAAGTTTTTATTTCTATTTTTGCATTTTGAAATGTATAATAAAATTTGTGATTGTTGCAAGGAACAATTTTTACCTAATAATTTTTTAATACTATTAATTTGTGATACATAATATATTATTTTTTCTTCTATAATAACTAACTTTTTTCTGTACCCCTAAACAACCTATTGCATACCCCGGGTTGGAAATCGCTGTTCTAGAGGGTTGCATTTAAGATAGAGTTGCCAATATCATCAGTGAAACCCAGATGATTGGGCATGTATTCTTTTCATGGATGAGTCATGATACAGTTTAAATAGTGATTTCCAACCTACTATTGCTGGTGGAAAAGATCTGAAACAATCCATCAAATATCAAAAAAGGTTCAGTTTCCATGGCAGTGGTTTGCTTTCAGGAGAGGCATCATTACATGACTGACTACAGGAATGGAATATTGCAGTGCTAAAAAAATTAAATTAAAAAGTGGAATAGCATTCAGGTACCAATGTGATGTTACAGATAAAAAACAAACCAAAATTTTAGCTCAATGCCTCAGACAAGAAGTTGGAGATGTTACTATACTTATTAATAATGTCAGTATACACTACAAGGACATCCATTGCTTAGTTTTAATAATTAATAGATAGGGAGAACAGCGGAAGTAAACCTTCTCTCAGTTCTGGACAGTAAGAGAATTTCTTTCTCAAATGTTAGAGTTAGAACATGGCCATATTGTGGCAGTATCTTCCATTGCTGGATGTCACAGATGCATCAGCATGATGGTTACAGGAATGGAATAATTCAGTTGTTAAAGAAATTAAATTGAAAAGTGGAATAGCATTCAGCTACCAATGTAACATCATTATATGACTGCACTGACCTGCATATCTTTCAGAGAGGATCAATGAATGGCTAAAGAAGTGCAAAGATAAGATTCTGTACCCCCTATGTTAGGGCTGTTTAGGATTACAAACAGCCTAGATTTCTACCTGATGGATGATAATGCCAGACCCCACTGAGCTTGTCTGGTAGTAGAATATCTGAAATCTTAAGATATTGTTTGAATGGATTGGCCAGCACATTTTCTAGACATGAATCCTATTGAGCATGTTTGGGATGCCTTAGGTTGCCATGTTGCAGCAGTGGCAGAGCAAGACCTAAATTTGATGTGGGCAAGGTACATTTTGCGAGGCCCCCTGGTGGCGCAAGAATACTGATTTTATAAAATAAAAAGCAGTTGAAACTGTCAAATTTTTATTCCTAAAAATGCAAACTATATTCTTTAACTAACATTAAAAAAAAATTAAAGAAACAGAAATTTCCTGCTTTTAGCCTTACTGAACTCCTTAATAATTGTATTGTAATTCAGCTTATATTTTATATATGCTTCAATAGATAAAACTGCCAAAGCTGAAAGTCTTTCCTGACCCATTGTATTTCTTAAATAATCTTTTATTAGTTTTAATTTTGAAAAGCTCCTTTCAGCGTATGCAGTACTTACTGGTATTGTTAACAAAATTCGAACGGCAATGTAAATATTTGGGTAAATTTCTTTCAAGTTATTTTCTGTTATGTATNATTTTGGAATTTTTCATTTTAGGATTTTTTCAAACATTTGAATTCAATTACCTCAGAAACATGATTTTGAGGGTTAGTACTATATGTCCCTGAGGCAGAAGAATTAGCTGCGTCTACCAACAGCAGATTCTAGCTATGACAACCGCAAAGTGTAAAAAATGCCTGGGATTAATATTTAATATTCGAGTTTTAACTCCACTATTTACGGGATACTTTACTGCGATACTTTGATTGGCTTTCTAGCTGTTGAGAATCGTGAAAGTAACATAAACAAACACAATGGGAAATCCCCAGCTCTGGCTGGCAAGGATTCCCGGAGATAGCAACCCAACGCCAGCAGATGTTGCTAGACAAATAAAAACAAATTTGGTATGTCAATATATTTATTGTTTTATGACGAGTAAAATTTTTTCGTTGAGTTTACTGCTTTTATGTAATGCATAAACCTTCGAAGCGCGAGGCCCCTCAGACAGCGAGGCCGTAGGCGGTGGCCCACATCGCCCACGCCTTACGCCGCCTCTGTGTTGCAGAACACTAGCCTTTACCTAGAACCTTCAGGAACTGAGGTTAGCTCTTCTACAGGAGTGATAGCTGATTCCAGAAGATTTAATTAACACACTCATCTTAAGTAACATGAACAGACATTGCAAGTTTATCCATTGAAAAGCTAGTTACACCACTATATAAAACTATGAACATTTATTGATTTATAGTGTTGATACTTTGTAGTATCAAAAATGTTTTTCATGTAATTTCTTAAGTATTTAATGTAATGCAAGTCCTAATAATTTTTTAATACTATTAATTTGTGATACATAATATATTATTTTTTCCGCCATAATAACTAACTTTTTTCTGTACCCCTAAAGAAC